AGGTACAGCAGGTGCAGAGAAAGAAGCCCATTTACCAAAGCCCTCTCTCTTCTTCATCCTTCTGCCGGCCTTTCTTTTCCTGACTGCATGAAATCTAAATCCCTCCTGGTCACTCTACCAGCTGTTACAGTTTTTACTTAGCCATTAATTCTAGGCTCTCAATATAGACTGAGTTTGAGAATCAGGAAAGGAAGGGCCCATGACTATTTCTCTGGCATCAAGAGGCTCCCACTCTGGTGAGGCCAGGCAAAAGCTGTTTAGGACAGCTATCTCAGCTAGGCCCTGCTCTCTTGGGCCTCTAGGCCTCTGCTCAGACTGTGCCCTCTCAGGCCCTCCTTTCCTCCCCTCCTCTGCCTGGGAGACTCCTGCTTGCTCTTCTCGGTCACACTGTACCAGGTCTACTAGGAAGGCTTTCTTTTTCCCTACTCAAGTCTCAGTTAAGTATATATATTTATTCATTTAGTTCACCGGTGTTAATAATTATCAAGCAGTTACCATGTCGTGGCAAGCCCTGTGTTGTGTGCTGGGGATTTCAGGGCAATTAAAATGAAGCATATTCACTGTGCTTTCCTCTATCACAGCAATTATCCTATTACAAGAGTCGGTTCTCCTAAATGTCTTACCTGGTAGGCACAGAGTGGACCCTCAGTGAATATTTATTGAATAATAAAGTGCTACATAATAAGTAGTTGAGCATTTACTGTATGTGAAGACATATTCAAATGTTATCATAATATGTTTATTACAATAGCCTTATGAGGTGGTGTGGTGGATTAAAGGTGGCCACAAATTATTGGGCACTTCTTTCACTGAGAAGTGGGGTCTGTTTCTCCTCCTCTTGAAGCTGGCCAACTCATGACTGATTGGACCAACCGAATACTGTGGAAGTGACACTATAGCATTTTCAGGCCAAGCCTTAAAAGCATCACTAGCTCCTGTCTCAGTGCCTTGGAGCCCTGAGCCACTGAATATGAATGAAGTACAATTACCCCACTAGGAAGCCTATGTGGAGAGGCCCTGAGAGAGAGAGAATGCTATAGTTTGGATGTCTGTCCCCCAAAGCTCATGTTAAAATTTGATACCCAGCTGGGCATGGTAACTCACGCCTGTAAAAGCAGCACTTTGGGAGGTTGAGGCAGGAGGATTGCTTGTGCCCAGGAGTTCAAGACCATCCTGGGCAACACAGTGAGACCTGATCTCTACAAAAAACAAAGAAAATCAGCTAGGCATGGAAGTGGCACATGCCTGTAGTCCCAGCTACTTGGTAGGCTGCGGTGGGAGGATCACTTGAGCCTGGGAGGTTGAGGCTACATGTGTCAAGATCATGCTTCAGCACTCTGTCTCAAAAAAGAAAAAAAAATGATACCCAAAGTTGGAGATGGGGCCTATTAAGAGGTGTTCGGGTCATGAAGGTGGATCCCGCATGAGTAGATTAATGCCCTCCTTGGGAGGAGATCAAGTTCTCATTCTTATTAGTTCGCTCCAGAGCTGTTGGTTAAAAAGAGCCTGGCACCTCCCCACCTCTCTCTCTGTTGCCACATGATCTCTGTACACACCAGCTCCCCTTTGCTTTCTACCATGAGTAGAAGCAGCCTGAGGCTCTTACCAGAAGCAGTTGCTGATGTCATGCTTCTTGTACAGTCTGCAGGAGTGTAAGCCAAATAAATCCTTTTTCTTTATAAAATACCCAGCCTCAGACATTCCTTTATAGCAACACTAAATGGACTGAGACAGAAGGGTACTGCCAAGCCCAGCTTTCTAGCCGTCCTTCCACAAGATGTCAGTTACGTGAGTGAAGTCATCTTGGATCCTTCAAATGGGTCCAGTTCCAGCTGCATGCCACCAATGGACCCTTGTCAACACGATGGCGAGTGGACGAATAGCCCAGCTGCGCCCTTCCTGAACTCCTGACTCACACTGTGAAGTATTATCAACTGGATGTTTCCAAAGCCACTCAATTTTCGGGTCATTTGCTTGTTATCCACAATAGATAATCATAGCAGAAAGTGACTTTTATTTTCTCTATTTTAGAGATGAAATTTAAGGTCTTGGTCCATAGCTAGTGAGCACTAGGGTGGGGTTTCTGAGGACAGTGTCTGACCCTAAAATCTGTGCTTTGAACTCACTATGATGAATGGGCCATCACTTGTGCCCTCAGAACATCAGGCCAAACGTACTTCTCCAAAGTAGAGAACAGGTAGAACCTACTATTTCCTCTCAACTCCTCTGGTGAGTAAGAGCTCAAGAAACGCTTTTTGAATGACATTTTTATTCACAGGGTTGATATGGGGAGATGTATATGAAAAACTGGGAAATAGCTTTTATAATGTGGTTTCTAAATGCCAGGCACTGTGCTGTATGCTTTTTATATATCTCATTTACTTCCTCCCAACCTCTTTGAGCAGCATGAATTCTTACCCCAATTTATAGATGAGGGAGTCAAGGTTCAGGGATGTCAGGGAACTTGCCCAGCTAGTACGGGTTAAAGCCAAGTAGGCATGAAGGTCCCTTTGACTTTGAAGGCCACATTCTGTCTACCTTGCGAGGCAGGTCAGCTTGTGATTCTGTCTGCCAAACTTGACACTGATCCCTTCTAAACTGTACCGTGTTAGTTTTGTGTCCTCAACCAGTTAAGGTCAGCATCAAGATCTAGAATTCTGATTGTGTATTCACTGTATTAAGCACCTCTTCCGGCTTTAGGTCATCCTTGGATGCACAGAACTCTGGGGTCACAGAGGAGGACTTCCTCAAACATTTCAACTGGGGCTTCAAGAATAAGTAGGACTTGGATAGACCACAAAGTGAGAAGGTGAGCAACTCTGGCGGAGCTGTGCAAGACTACGTGCAAAGGCACAGATGCATGAAAGGGCTGGCATTTGGGGTAATACTGATAAATACACATATGTGTACACACATATATCGATTAAATACCTATAATATATCATACATAATGTTATATATGTGTATGGATGTACATAAAATGGTGTTATGTGAGTATATACCTACATGCTAATAATAGTTACCTTTTGGTGATAAATATAAATGATTTTCTTTCTTCTTGCTTATTTCATTGTCTAGCTGTTTTACAATGACCATTTCTTATTTGAGGAAAAATGTATAAATTTTTTAAAAAGCTGCATGTGTTTTCAGCAATGGATGTGGGAGGACAGAGTATCAGAAAGGCAGGTGAGCACTGGCTGTTGAGGCAGGAGACGTGAGCTGGGACCACTTTTGCAACTCAAACTAACCATTAGGAAAACCTCCTTGCTGCTCATCCTCTCTCTTGCTTTCCATGAAAAACCTGGAGACTCAGAGTAGGAAGCTCTAATTTGATCCTAAGTGGGAAAGATGAACATTAAGCAGAGGGAGTGGTGACTGTGGTGTGTGCAGAGCATCAGAACCATCGATTAGTGGCTGGCTTCTTCCAGTCCTGTTCAGTCTTTCAGTGAGCACATTGGAAATAATGGAGATCTGATTAAGCTACCCTGGGCGGGCTGCCACACAATTATCCTACTCCGTTACTGATGAGCACAAAGGAGGCACGCAGGGAAAAATCACACACGATTTTAAAGGATGTCAACAGAAACAATACAAATTAAGAGACTGGAGGCGGGAGTGGGGAAGCTGATTGGGTCGCATCTCTGAGAATTTTGCTTTCGGAAAAACAATTCTACAGGAGTAAAATGGTACAAAAATGTTGATTTTCTCTTATTGGCCTCCACAAGCTCGATGTGCCATTACCATTACCATAGTTGTGTGCTAGGCAGTCAGATGGCTACACTTTCCACATGCAGGTTAATTTTATTTCCTTAAATCTGGCATGATCTTTGTTCTCCTCACAGATTAACAACAGGAGTTTGGGAAAATAAAACCTATGTTCCTCACTACTTTAGGAAACAGGGTGGAAGATAAAGCAGTTCCACTTCGTCTACAGTTTAGAGAAAGGGAAAGTCTGTGCCCCCAAGGTCAATGGTGCTTATCTCAGAGTGGTAGGATTATGGGTAAATTTTAGTTTTTGTCTTTACAGTTTTCTGCCTTTTCTCCAGTGAGCTTGTATGGTTTTTATAATGATTAAAAAAAATTCCATTTTGGAAAAATAGCATGTAAGCAGAGAGAAGGAGAACAGCTACAGAACTCAGGGGGACTTAAGTCCCTGAGCTGACAAAATCATTGCCCAAAATAGCTGGAAGAAGGAACATGGTGGAGGGATTCCCAACCAGAGAAGGTGACTGGGTGTAGGTGAAGCAGCACTGGACAGGGAGTCTGACCTTGAACCTGAGTTCAAGTCTTAGCTGTGCCTCAATCCTATGTGAAATGAGCTAGTGATGGACCCACTCTGATTCTCAGCTTCCAAATTCCCAAATGGGCACGATCATCCTAATGCCCACTTCATAGAGGTATGAGGACTACATAAGGTCACACACAGGAAAGCCCTTGTCACCCAAAGCTGACTACGCATGCTAGCGGTTACTGGGGCTTTGGGTATAAAGGTGGTAGCACAGCAGGGAAGGAGGAGAGGAGGCGAGACTGACATAGCTGAATGCCGACGCCAGGCCAGGCAGGCCTGACACTAGGCACAGGGTGGTAGAATCATGTATGGAAAGGCAAAGAGGAGGGCCCGAGTAAAACCGGACTGAGAACCTGCTGTCTGTCACACACCTGTGCGCGTTAGCGCTCATCTGCTTTAACAATTCTGTCCCGCAAACATCATGGCCGTTGTGTAGACGAGGAAAGAGAGGCACGGGGTTTGGGGGGTGTCTAGCCACTTGGCCAAGGTTACATCTTTGGTAAGCAGCAAGCTGGCACTGGACCTCAGGTCTCTTGGATTCCAAAGCCCATGCTGGCAGTCGGAGAACTACATCCCTTAAACCGTACACCCGACCCCAGCTCCTCCGGCCAGCATTATCTGGGGACACTGAACAGCCCCGCCAGCCAAAGGCCTCGGCCCCGGGCCTGGCTGCCCGCCCTCCCTGGCCTCGCCCGCCCCGCCGGCCGCGCACCTGGTCTCCAGGGGGATGTTGCTGTTGAGCAGCCAGTTGTCCTGGGCGTGGGTGGGCTCCTGGGCGCCGCCGGCAGGGGGCTCTCCGGAGAGCGAGTGGTCCGTGGGGGCCGGGCTAGGGTTGCTCCTCGGCGTGAAGTTGCCCCTGTTCAGGGAGTTAATGGAGGCCGCGTGGTGCTGGTTGGGGGTGTGGGCGTGCGAGAGCGGCGGTGGCGGTGTCCGGAGCCGCGGGTGGTTCTGCAGGCCGCCCGGGTGATCTAGGGCAGAAACACGGCGGTCAGCGGCGGCAAGCTGGGCGCTGCCCCTCGGCTGCAAAAGCAGCCACGGGGGTCTGAGCAAGACCACAGAAGAGGGCACTGGCAGATTATACATATTGATGCAGTCAATCAGCAATTACGTTACTGAGCACCTGCTATTCTAGGTGCTAGGGATACCTCAACCAACTGAAGAGACAAAAATCCCCGTCCCCGTGGAGCTTAAATTCTAGTCGAGGAGTGAAACAACAAACAACATAAAAAAGATGAGTTGGCCCATGTCAGCAACTTCACATTGTTTCTTCCATGCTTTTAGGACATGGCTTTTAAAGTGTGGCCAAGGACCGCAGCTTCAACATCAACTGAGAATTTTGTTAGAGATGGAAATTCCCAAGCCCTGCCCCAGATTGACTGAATCATGAACCCTGATGGGACCCGGGAATCTGATTTTACAAACCCTCCAAGTGACTCTGCAGTATACTAAAATTCTAGAACCACTGATTATATATGATGGTACACAGTAAGTGAAACAAACAACGTTTTAAAAGTAAAACATAGTTTACTGAGATGGCGATAAACTGAAGAGCACATACAGCCAGGAAGGGGACTGTGGCCTGTGCATGTAAGGGCAGTGGTGAAATTTCAGATGAGGTAGCCACATTAGGAGAAAGATGACTTTTTAATAAAGTGAGCCATGGTGAGTCTTGTGGTTAAAAACCATTCCTAACGTTCACTGAGCACATTGAATGTGCCAGAGTCTCGTTCTGAGTCCTCTGCAAGTGTAAATTCAGCTAATTCTCACAACCGCCACAGCAGGGACTGCTTTTATCCCCAGTTTACGGATGAGAACACTGAGAGACTTTATTTATTCCCTTTAATTATTCAGAGCAACAGGTATCATCACCAATTTACACATGAAAAACGTAGACTTGGAGCAGGTAAGTAAAGTGCCCGAGAGTTTGTATCTAACTGGGTGTTACTGGCAAAGCAAGCAAGCAAATACAATTTCTACTGATACCACAAATGAGGCAAGTCATGGAGGTAAATCTTTACCATCCATCTAAGCTATGCTCACAGAAAGCCTAGTCTTTCAAAGCGGATGATATTACAGGGTAGGTGACAAGGCCAGGAAAGTAGATTCTAACCTAGATTCCACCACTTATTAACTACATGGGCATGGGCAAGTCATTTGACCTCTTTGAGCCTCAGTTTTCTCATCTGCAAAATAGGGGACATAGTTTATTCTGGGGATCACAGGGCTACTGTGAGATCAAATGAACAATCAGTGGGAAAGAAATATTTCTGAAGTATTCTGCTATCTTTGTTCCTCCTGAGAATTCTGTATTTCATAGAGGAGACTAAGAATCACAGAGAACAGCAATATTCCAAAGGCTGTGCTCTTCCTTGGTTAGGGAGAGAGCTTTTTGCAAACCGTCAAGCACAGTCAAGAATGAAGCGCCATTAGTGTTATGGATTTTTTAGGGTAATACCCATCACTCTGTTTTTTGAGTAAACTAACTTTTTATGCCTAAGAGGTATAAAGCAAATCTGGTGGGGAATTTGGGAAAGGGGATTTAGGGGTGGAAGGGAGAAAGAAATAGAAACCTGTCTGAGTGGATCACTTCCTTATTACAAGCTGCTACTTTTGGCATAAAGCCCACACCTGGCCTATTAATACAAAACCCTCTGGAATCTGATCCATAGCTGTCTTCAAGCCTCATATCCCATCAGCTCCATCATGCATCCTCCACTCCAGTCACACCTTTCCTCCAAGGCCAGGAGATGTGCTGAGGCCATCTGAGTAGCCGAAACCTCAACTCCCAGAAGGAGGATCCCCAGGAAGGTGACAGAATGTGAATGGTACCCCCTGAAGATATGCAGTGCTGTGGTACTGGACAAGAAGGGAACTAGCAGGGATTTCCTTACTGGGAAGGCAGAGAACCTGGAGGCCAATACAACCTGCCCAGGCAGAGTGTCCCACTCAGAGAACAGGTCAGGAAGAAGGTGAGAATATGCAGCGTCATTTGTTTGTTCCAGCTGTCCTCAGGCAGCACTTTAATGGAGACAGACAGAGCCTGGGACAGAAGCCAGCAGCAGAAGCAGCCTCCTGGGCTGACTGAATGTTATTCCCAGCCTTGGCCTTTCAGGCTGCTGGCAGGAGTCCACAAGAGCACTGGCCAATGGTCAGCAGGAGGCCAGCAGAGAAGTGTGACCCAGTCCTTGCTCGTGTCCTGGCCCTAGGAGTCAACCTCCTCATGGCATTTTACTTGATTGATACAGTTTCTGCCATGTATTGGAGCATCTACAATGTGTGCTTCCACTTAACTTTTCTAATGCTTACAACAACCCTTAGGAGACAGTATTTATATTGCCATTTTACAGATCAGGACACTGAGGCTTACAAAACTAGTCAGTGGTTCTCATAAACACAAAGGCCAAATTCAGTTTACCAAGCCATGGTGCCTTTGCATAAAAGTCAGACACCTCCTGGATTGTCTGTCCACGGCTAAATGCAGGAAAAAGATCCTCAGTGAAGAGAGTAGCATCCAAGGTCTGGGCCAGGCAAACCTACAGACATTTGCTTTGTGACTAATGGGGACACCAGGTTCTGGCCTGAGAAATGTTCAGAAGGACTGTCAAAAGTCCTGCATCGATGAAACTGTAAGTATAAGATCATTGGTCCAGGTTTAAAAACTGACTTCTAAAAGGAAATTCTCCTATGGGGACAAAGAATGTTTTCTATGGGACAAGGAATGTGCTGGCCCAAATCCTCCTACTTTTTGAAGCTCAGCTCAACTGCCATCCCATCCAGAAAGACTTCCTTGGTCTACCCTCTCTAAAGTTCCCTTTTCCTCCTGAATGCTGACAGACCTCTCACCTTCATCTCCTCCCCAAGAGCATGCATGCTGATGTCCCCATGTTGCCTCCCCTGGGAGGTGTGAAAGTCTCTATCTTCTCTTCTCTGTGCTGGGTGATCATAGAGCCTAGAACTGAGCAGATGCTCAATTAGGTTTATTGAACTAAGAGCCATGTGAATGGCCTGAGCTGTCAGTGCAAGCAAGTGGGGTTCATGTGGGGTATATTTGCGTGCAAAAAAACCATAGTAGACCACTCTGGGCCTACTAGACCATGGGTCTACACAGGCCTTTACTAACTTGCCTGGAGCCAGAGTTGCAGAGGCTTTGGCTAGACCGTTTATTTCCCTTCCCTCACCCTTTCTAGCTTGAGAACTTTAAGAAAGGGGACCTTGATGTTTCCCAGGTTCCCAAAGGAAAAGCTCTATATTTGGGAGCTCAGCAATGAAAGTTTCACTCACAAACCCCAGAAAAAAATGTATTCTTCTAAAAGAGCAAATGTTTCCTCTGGTCTGAATGGACTCTTGTTTTTGCTCCTATGGCCAGAAAGGAAGACAGAGGTCAGAGGCTTCAGAGGAGCTTTCTTTTATCCCCTCCCTAATACACACCCTCGTCTTTTGGAGGGAATCTCACAACCAAGTCATTATTTAGCATTTACTGAATGCCTATTCTCTGCCAAGTCTTGTACACTAGGTATTGGGCATAAAACAGTGAACAAGATAAATACGGCCTAAGAGAGGACTCTTCTAGTTTCTATTTACTGGCTGGGTGACCTCCAACAACAAGTTTCTTTGCTTCCTACAAGTTCTCACATCTCCTTGCTCCTTGGCCAGTGTGTCTGTGAAAGGGCACACTTTTCTACTTTACCACTTTCTGGAGGATGAAGAGCCATGGGTTTGCTCAGGTACCAAGTATACCATCCACTCCTACTAGGCCCTGAGGGAAAGACCCATGTGTCATTCCTTTTCATATCCCCAGTGTCTGCACAGAGCTGGGCCTAATACATGGTAGGTTCTCAGTAAATATTTACAGAATGCTGGAGAAAGAACAACTCAGGTAGTTGGGCTTTCTGTCTGCAGAAGCAGTTGCTTCTCTCATGCTACCTGGGAGTATGCATTGGGATACTTGCAAAGCTGTGCTGTAAATTCTAATTTATACCCTCTTCTTGCAGATATTGCTACCAAGTCTGTCTGTGAATCAAGCCCAAATGTGAGTCATTTTACTGTTATTTGTGCATACCACAGTCAGTAAAGGTCATTCACTTATCTGAGTTTTGCAAGTCTGGTTTTCCAGGAAGTTTCTTTGCTTCCTACAATTTCTTGGATATATGTGCAGTTACTAGTATCCTCCATACCTCAGACAGTTTTCATTTTAGATGCACAAAAATCCTGAACTGCAGAGCCTCCTGGCTGCATCTCCCTGAATCAAGATCATAGTGAGGCTCCTTCAGAGTGCTGGGCAGAGCCATAGGTGAGAGAAAGAGACTTGGCTATGGTGTCAGAGAGCCCTGAGTTCAAGTTTTGGCTCTGCCACTTAGAAGCTGTGTGACTTTCAAGTCACTTACCTCCTCTGGAGCTTTAGTTTTCTTGTCACTAAACAGAAATAATGCCTACCTTCCAGGATTGTTGTGAGAATTAAAAGACACAGTGTATGTGAGTGCTCAGTGCCATGCTTAGAATATACTAATCCTGAAAAATGGTAACTATTAATTCCACAATTACAATAAAATCATGTTGAAAAAATAAATCACAAAGCCCTAAATCATCACCATGGTGATCACTCTTCAGCATTTACAACAGGGGTTCCAAAGCAAAAAACCTTGAGAGAGAAAGAGCAGGAAAATATCTAACAGAAGTGTGATACTCTTTTATTACACTGAATCCCACTCTGGACAACCTGCTGGCTCCTAGGAGCTCTAGTCTCAGGAGGGTGCCTGTAGTTGAACTTGTAGTTCAGAAACTAATGAGAATGGCTGTAGCCCTGACACTCATAACAAAACCAGATGCATGGGCTCACCATGTATTCAAAGAGGGAAGCTCCTTTCTGCATTAGATTAGCATCTGAGAGCAAACCAGGCAGGGGCTGCTACCCAAATCCACACCTCTCTACCCCAGGTTCAAGGTACGCCTTAAGGAGAGGGCCCCGGTG